GTTTGGCCAACAGGCGTCTCGCCGACGCTTTCGCCTTCGAAAACAAATGTTCTACTGTATTTAGCATGTACGACTAGGGCGAATGGAACTTCAGCTGATAGGATGAGCCCAAGATCCTCCTTAGATCATCCGGCATGTGGATCTTGGCTTTTTCCATTATCAGACATGCACCGTTCATCTCCACTGTGCATCGTGTAGGCTCCATATGTTCCTCGACAAACGTGGAGAACTTTGCACCATTGCAACTACCATCGCTGATGATTTTTTACTGTAGGATGCCTTGTTTATTCGCTGCCAAAATCAGCGTCACCATTCGGCCTTAGGCGGTAAGCATGACGACGTTCGCGTGTCCCTTCTTGCGGGAGCTTGAGTCCGTCGCATGTGGAGATAGGACCCGCTCTTATCTATGAAGATGCATTTTTGTTTGTCATTCGGTGTATGTAACGAGAAGTCAAGGGGGTAAGATGTCGGCTTGCGCTGGTCGTGACACTGTTGATGCGGTTTAACACGGGGTGCCACTTCTTGAACGTTGTCCTTAACCTCCTGAGGGCGTTAAAAACAGTACATACTACTAGGTCGATCCCCATTTTTCTCTGCCACAGATGTAGCTGCGCCCTAGCGTCTTCGGAATGCCGTTCAGCGGTTTCTTCAACACGCTGCAGGACATCGGGAGTCATGGAAGACATGGGACAACTGGGTCACTTGTTTTGCTCGAGGTGAACAACGCCAATGATCGAGAGGAGAGATTGCACAATCGCCGACTGCCTGCACAGTCCCGTTGCACTCGCGCGAGCACAATGGGGTCTGAATATCGTCCAGTCGTTTTACTCCCATTTCTTCGATAGCGACTTACAGCAGTAGGCCAATAAAGTCATGCTGTGTTTGTTGGAGTCATGATAACCTGCACTGATCCAATAATCGGGCGGCTGAATAGGTTGACCCACACAAAGCACGCGAAAGTCCATAGAGTGACAGGGGACAACGAGATCACCGCCTATCTGCCTCATCAGCTACGGTCCAAATGATGGAATTGGCCAAGGTTTAATTCAGTGGGAATCGCGCTCCACATTGAGATGGCGCATTGTAACTCATTTTCATAACGAGTGCTTCACAACGACCCTCCAATGCTAGGTAACATTTGTTTAAGTCATGGTAGGCAACACTATTTGGAAGTCGTACTTTCAAATAGTCGCATAGCTACACAAGTGCATGTGTAAAATCAGAAGCACATAAATTACGAGAAGACAAAGAGGTAGGGGGATACTCAGTCACCGCCTTTGTTCGAGGCGATCGAGGTCCAAGATTAAGAGAAGAGTTTGCAGTGGCACCCGCTGGTTACGCGATTCGGTTGAATTAGCATAACTGCGATGTAGTTTGAACACCGTCTAGTCACCTTACACCTCATTTCTTGCGAGTGAACTGTTGATTATCTGCTTAAAATCCATTGTGTCCAAATCGGTTTGCAAAGTGTTCAAGGTGATTTGCAAGAAGTCCAATTTGTTTTGCTAAATGTCCAAAGTAGTTTGCTAAAGGTCCAGTGTGGTTTCCAAAATGTCCGATTTAATGTGAAAGTGGTATAACATCTGTGCTTGATTTAGTGCTCACGAACGAAGAGCTCATGTTTGAGAAACCAATGATGGTGAGCTTCTTTGGCCGAACGACCACTTACCCATTAGTTGCGACTGTGTGTTATGCGGATTCTACACAAGAACATACTGGCTTGTTGCGCACAATCACGCACTACGACATACTGGCAGAACTTGTAGGTGATGCCATCTGGGTGTTTTCGAACGACTGTTCCATTGTCAGTGCTTGGATATAGTTTGCTGGCAAGTTCACTTATCTGATTAAATCCGCATTGATAACCAGGTCACTTCGTTCTGTGAGAGCATATTTATTCGGAGCGGAACCCGTAAACACATGACATTAAGAGACTCAGCGTGGCATACCTGCAGTGAGCGAACCCTAGCCCTGGTAACTGGAGCAACTATATAGTGCATCGTAATTACTGTAACGCGCTTCTCCGTGGGGACAAGTTTTTACGCCAGCACAGCCTTGCGGAAGGATTTGTGCTAACACAAAGCTTCTGTAGAGACGTATGAACAGCCTTCGGAATGTGAAACGTGCTTCCCCCCTCACTAATACCAACAGATGGATGTGCTCAAACCGCCGAGAATGCAGCCAAGATTCTACGGTTACAATTTGCCCCAATCTTTCGACGCGCCAACAGCGTATGCCACGTGCCTGTATAGTTTCCCCGACCCCAGTATTTACACACGCCACGTTTAGTGCAGCGACCATTTTGAGGAAGCTGCTGTCGTTTGGCACTGATAGTTCGCCCGGAGTTGGCAACATTCCCCCGAAAGCACTGCAGTTGGCAGTTACTATGATAGCTGGGCCATTAACGAGATTTTTCAAAAAATGCCTGGACAAGTTACAGGTCCGTAACCTGCGGGGCATCGTTATCCAGCTTTTCATGTGTGGTAACCCTTCAAAGCCCGCCAACTATCGCTCAGCGATTTTCCTCACTGTACTGTTAAACGTGATGGAATCGATCATATCCGAGGCATTAATGAGCTTGCCTTGAAACGTCTAACATCATAACACCGCAGCAACACAACTTCCGTCAGCGTCAATCATCTACTACTAACCTGCTGACTTCGTGTGGTAGTTGGATCGAAAAGCCGACAGTGAGACCGGCACTGATGTCATCTATGTCGACTTTTCTAAAACCTTCGACTGCGTAGATCACCTCATTCTTCTCCAAAGCTGCAGGCGCGCGGTGTTGGGAACCCTATCCTTGGATGAATCGGATACTTCCTTCAGCGGTGCCTTCAGGTTAGAGTACGAAACTCATTTTCTGGTCAAATTACTGTGGACTGCGGTGTTCCACAAGGGTCAGTGTCGAGGCCGCGGTTATTCTTGTTTTTCAATAACGATCTTACGGGTATCATCAAGTGAAATTTCCTGCTTTTTGCCAATGTTACCAAGATATGGCCGGTAATTGGTTGTCAGGAAGATCACATATGCTGCAACGAGACATTTGAATGGTCAAAGGCAAATCTACTCCCGTTTAACACAGACAGGTGCAAAACCGTGCACGTCCGCCACAAATCCACCTACGTAGATAAACTTGCATACAACTTGGTGGAATTGGGTGCTGCCCGCCCGAAAACACTGCTGCATCCAATTCCATCTGCTTTGACTACGGTCCTAGTGATCGCAGTGACTAAGGTTCACTTCAATGTGAGCCGCGGTCCACTTTGAGATTGCGCGTCGCAATGCAACCACACAACGGGTAGTCCAAAATTGACCTTCCAATTGCACACAACTTGTTTAAAACTGTCCCACAAGAGCGCGACCTTAGAGTGGTGATGCAAGACCACCTTGGTTATTCGGCGCAGTCCTTGAGAGTGACCAAAACCGCGAATCATGTTGCTCTCTTAAGGAGGGCGTTCAGGAGGTTCGACGCCTCCACCTTCCCCCAAATGCTGTGTGAATGCGAGACCCCTTGTAGAGTACGCGATCCAGGCCTGGCACTCACCTGTCATACCATTTTCGAATGAAAACCCTGGAGGTGTGCACCGTTAGATATCGCCGTGTACGGGGTGACATCATCCTGGTGTTCCAATTTTTGAAAAACCCCGCAACGCTTGCCGCCACCTGAAACTTAGACACAACACAGAATTGAGGGGTCATAAGATGAAACTGGCCACCCAATGCAGAGGGCTGGAGTGCTGCCAGAATTATTTTTCCCTTCGAGTTTCTCGACCGTGGACCGCACGACTTTTGTTGTTTCTGCGCCCACTCTACCCATTTAAATAAAACGACTCGACTATGCATCATACCACCTACGTTGCTTGATCTGATTTCTGTTCATTGGGGGACGACAAGATCCAGACGAAATTTGTGTTCACCAACCCCCACGAAATCGGGGTTGAAGGATCTACCTTTGTGTTAACGTAGATAATATGGTGAGTCCACATATGCGTTCTTTCACTTTTGTGTCACCTTTTGAACTAACATTATTCCCCTTAACTATTCCACGGGACTTTTTAAGCCTTGGCTTTGTTATCCGTATCGTACCACTGTTCTATTTTTACCGCTAAAGTGTTAGGGCTTGTTCTGGTGGTAGTGTATTCGGTCCGTACCGCTCCAGTTCAGACATTTCGTACTTTTGCCTGTTGATTCCACTGAGTAAAGCCTTAATGCACATATAAGGTGTCCTTGCGCCATCAATACTGTATTTAGTACGCACTGGGTATCTATCCTCTTCTTGCAGCCCCATTCTCGCGAAATATTGTTAAAATGCAGTTCTGGCTACTCTGCGAACATGTATTTGTACAAGCCACCTACTGTGTAGCATTGTGCTGTTGAACTCATCGGGCCACGTGATGTTTTCACCTCATTTTTGGCCGCGCAGACATCTACGCTGCCTATTGAATCTTTAGTTTTTCAAATTAATATCGCACAAATTGCATTCAGTTTCTTATCGCATGTTTCGACTGCTATAATCAGCCCTATCACGTGATTTCATTTTACCCTCTCGTGTAGCAACCTTAACATACTCACCAAACCGTCCATTCCGGCTGATAGTTACCAGCGGTTGACAAATCTGTCGCTTACATAGTCATACGATTCGATACACTTGTTTGAAATCCCACTGATTATTTTGCAGTGTTCTACATTGTCACCTTATAAGCTTTGCCTTCAGGCGCTTGTACTAGCCAGTGATCGAGTTCATCTACGTGCATTTCTGCTAAGGCATTGCCTTAATCGACCGCTTCCAAACTTGCATATTTGTTGCTAACCACCTATGATCAGAGCAGACATCTTTACCCACGACGAATGAGCTTTGACCTTTGGTATTTTTCCTGGACCTTGACATTATTCGGTCTGTGCCACAGCGTACGTTGGTACTCGGGCTTTTATTTTGACCATTTCCTGTGATATTGGACTTTCATCGCATTGCTTTTTTCAAACTCCTGGAGTGTTTTCAGGTACGAATAGAGGACAATGTTTTGATTACCGCAACCGGCTACGAACTACTCACAGATGTGCCCAGGACTGTGAAGGAAATCGAAGACTGGATGACACATGCTCCATCCAATGAAAAGGATTTCTAGTTTCCACCCTCAAGTACCATGACAACTGCCTACCAACCTGCGCGTTCCATTTTTTTCTTTTGTCTAACCACGCCTCTTTGATTCATTGAACGATCACATCTGTCCACTTTTAATGTACCTCGTTTTTATAAACAATACTCCGCTCTTCCTCTCTGTAGCTGGTCTCATTTTTAATATTACTTTCTTGCGTATACTAATACTAACCAGCTCTAATATTCTTTGGTCCCAAGTCATTGTGCACCTTCCCGGAGCAGCTACTTATATTACTACCTAGATAAGCGACATATTTCTCGACAGTGCGCGGCGTAGTTCAGCTAAGAGGTCTGATCACTATGTACAGCGCGTACGCGAAACAGTTCATTGCAGTTCCAAGACGTTTTTGGGGTGCTTGTAAGTTGAGTGCTCCAAAAATGCTGAAAGCTTGTTAATAATATTAAATGCAGTTAAATCTGCATGCTCAACTGAAGTAATGCGACTATCCATGGAACCGAATACCACGAGCCTGAGTCAATGCAGAGTAGTTCATAGAAAGTTTTCCCTCGCACTTGCATGTCCCATCTGGCCGAGTGCTGATACAGCTATGAAACAAGTAAACCGTCGTCATTTTCTTGTGTATATGGTATGGGCACTCAAGCCATCTAGTCAGATGGTCACGCCTGTTACGGCATGTCCAGTTAATCATAAGTTTTCTATTGTAATGACCACGAATGATCGCGAAAGGTACAACACTGATGCAACTCGATTTCAATTTTGACTGGAAATGGACTACCGCGCATCTCCTGCTGTGAAGCGAATCCTTTCACGTCATACACGTAATCAAACCCCTGCTTCTCCCAGCGAACCGTTCAAAATAGATTTGCCAGAAGTAACCACCGATGTATCGCTGCACAACCATGTCGCCTCCTGTGCGATTCAGAACGGGGGATAGATCATCTGTGCTCGCCAACGATGGACTGATGGTCGACATTGCAAGCGTAAATGCACCGTTTGGCCGTAGCGATCCATGCGACGCTGCTTTTCCGGTTGGGTCTTCAACTTGGGCCGTGCTCTACATTTTCATCTTTCAAGGGATTATCGACCCACGCTTCCGATGATAATACCTTAGACTCCATTGTTTTACTCACCTATTGTGTTTTTCTACTATCAGAACCATGATGACCTCGATGTTATGAAATCCTTATATAGGTAGAAATTCGTCACATTTAGACTCAACCAGACAGCCATCACATGCCCGGAAAGGCACTGTACGCGCGTTTCATCTTTTTGGGACTCGTCAGCAGTGCATATTCCATCGGATCCTGGTAGGGCTCGAACTCGCAACTCGACTGTTTCCAGTCCGTGGTTGAGACCACTGCGCTACAGGGGACGGCAACGACCATGGTGAATAAGTTACTAAATGTGATATAGCGTCGCTCACTATTCACTGGCTTGCACGTTACTATCATGCAGTGGTCTCAACCACGGACTGGCAACAGTCGAGTTGCGGGTTCGAACCCTACCAGGGTCCGATGGAATGTGTATAGCTGACGATTCCTGAAGGGATGAAATGAGCATACAGTGCTTTTCCGGACGTGTGATAGCTGTCTGGGTGAGTCTAAATGTGACTAATTTCTACCTATACCATTCAAAACCCCCTACTACTCCTCTGGAATCGTTATATGTTTCCACGCTAGATAACAACGATAATAGATCTATCAGGAATAAGGTGAATTCATCTAACAACATGTAATAAATCTATTGAAAAACATCGTATGCGTTGGAAGTTGCTCTCAAGAAGAAAAACTTGATATATGAGCGTGCCCACTTTTCTAATCCTCAATGTCAGTTCGCTGCTGGGAAAGACGGAGGACCTTGACAGCATTATCAACTGTCGTGAATACACACAGTTTGGCATCATTCTCTTACAACAGACACGGCTCCATAAAGGTGCCGAATACGCCGTTGTTGTAATTGACCGTTTTATTTGTTTTCGTGTTGATTGCCTATTCACCTACCGTAATCGCGGCGGCGGTGACATAACCTTCATTAACGCTTCTTAGTGTCTATCAGGGAAAAGCCTCTTCTGCTACTCGTCTTAACGCATCGACTGCTTGATCATAAATTGCAAGCAAAATTATCTGAATGGGTACCGCTCAATTTCACTGGCCAATATTTATATATCCCAGTTGTCCCATCTCAGAAGCTGTTAATGGGAGTCGACTAGTCCCTGTACTTATTTACTGGGGATTTTAATGGATTAAACACCACATTTCTTGCAACCCTCGGCCAACAAAATATTATAAAATTTCCCATCAGGTTAGAGGCAACCCTGGATTTTATATTTGGTAATAATACGAAGATATTTTCGGTCCGCAATCGAGCACCACTTGGCAGCTCAGATCATCCTATAGTCAACTTTCCCTTGTTGTCTACAGTACGACAAACCACAAGATCGCCACTCACTGAGATGGTCGTATATGTAAATGCAAACAATCCCTTTCTTCAAACACAGCGCGACTGAGAGAAAAGGTTGCTTCCACAAACTTTAGTTTGTTTTGCGATACAGGCGTATCAACATGCTGTGACCAAATGCCAAGTTATCCGAACTGTTATAACCTATGTTGTCCGATGGAAACCATCTCCATCCGTGCTGATCGCTTTGCTTCACCCCATCTCACGCAGCTTTGTAAGATCGAGGAGAGAGCTTTCAAGAGCAAAGATCATGCTTTCTGTTCATGTTAAAGAAGTGTGCCACATCAGTCATGTCTATGTCCAGACAATTCTTGGAACATTTGTCCTGAGATTTGGTGAATAATAAAACATCAGCGGAGTCACCTGCCGTGCAACATATTCCGGCTTGGACGTGGAAGAATTGAATCACAACTTATGTTGCACCAGCAGTGACTCATTCTCTGACTTAATATTTGCACCGTTTTAGGGGTCTACGTACTCATTGTCTCCTGTCGACGTTGTATCACTGCCCAAGATGCTAACCCAGCTACATTCTGGCGGAGCATGAGGACCTGACAGGTTGTCTGCTGTCGTCTTCATATGGTATTCTTTGTCCCAGCTTCTGGCTGGGTTATACAAAATGTGCCCAAAACAAGAAAAATCACGGATAGTTGGGGGATTGCTAGCATAACGCCAGTACCGAAGGAAGAGATGAGTAAATATCGGCAACTTGCATTTACCTCGATAGCTTTCTAGATTTTTAAGCTAATCATTCTTGAAATAATACCTTCACAGTCCCGTTTGGACGACCCATATAATTTTGCGTGTACTAGTTCTAGATCCCCTTAACACATAGTGGCCTGTATAGTGCATTCCGTCTTGTCTTCACTAGACTGTAAGCGTAAACCCACATATGTTTGCTTCCTCGACTACATCAACACTCTCGGATGTATAAATCGCAAATTGCTGTTGCAAGCTCCACTGACATCTGGTATTCAACCTTCCCTAACCTTCTTATATGATTATTTTGCCAAACACACTCAAGTTTGGCGGCAGAAGCTCTTCACTACTTACCACAACTTCCGGTCACCTACAAGAAGCTGTTTTGTCGCCATTATTTTTCCTTACTTACCTTAGCTTTACAGCTGTCCATTCTACTAAAATGTTGACGTTATCATCTGCATGAATAATCGAACCTTGGTCTCAAGTACGTGTTAGGGGATCACTCTCTAACCCAATTGAGATGAAATGTGGTGTCCCACAAGGCTCAGTGCTGGGATCGCCTTTATTCCTTGTGTTTATCAACGACCTGGCAAGAGTCATCTCCTCAAATTTCCTGTTTTTTGCCGATGAAGCCAAGATATGGCGGGCGATAAGTAACAAGCCAGATCACGATCTGCTCCAACGTGACCTAGATTGCATTTACGAATGGGCAAAGAGGAACATGCTTCAATTTAACATATCTAAGTGCAAGGTGATACCTCTGCGTCACCAGCCGGTGAGCGCTTACAAGCTTGGAGACCACACCTTGGAGAAGGTCTCTCAGGAGCGTGACCTGGGTATATTGTTACGGGAAGATCTCGGGTGTTCAAAACAAGCAGAGAAGACGACGAGAATCGGCAATCAACACTTTGGCCTTCTTTGCAGCGTCTTCGGTCATTTTGAACCCTCACTCTTTCCCCAAATGCTTAACGCCTACACATTGCTCTCCTGTGATCTTCCGGACCTGCTGTGTAAACATTTCAATCTGCTTGACAAGTCACTGAAACACTTGTCCCGCTGCAGTGACAGTCTGAACCAAATTATTTTATGCACGCATGTAAATTTATGCACTAAACATGCTTCTAAATTACCCACCAACATTAGTCACCCTCTTTACGTTGCCCCACTCAACTGTATAACTACTTCGTCAACCAGACGAGAGTACTACATAATATGTAACTGCACGAGAGCTTATGGTTCGTCAGTCATTCTGCATTTAATCAGATCTATATTTGACCAAAACGCCACCATCCTAGAACTGACCGGTAAGTTCTACCAGTGAGGTAGCTTTTCTGGAGCTTTTCCTGTCGCTTTTGGATTGCATTTTTGTCTTGTCAATAGCATGTGTGTCACTATTGACAACTCATCCATCACGAGTGCATAAAGGCGTATCCTTGAAAAAATTGCTATATGGAATACCCATGCGAAAGCAACAAGCAAACCTACATGGTCGCCAATTAAGACATCCTCTCCGCACTCGTTCAAGAGACTAACTGGTCTGTTCTATCCGAGCAGCCGCCCGATGTCGCCTGAAGGGAGTTCTTCGCCCCGTTTTCCGAGCTATTCATGTCAACAATGCGCTTTATGAAGAGTGCATATTTAGCTACAAAACACACGCTAAGGACACAAATAAAATCGAATAAAAATATGACAAATGTATGTGGTGCACCACCGATTTGTAAAGGTAGCAGTAGTGATATCATCTATTCAGTCTGGCAATAAGGTCTTGTTTGACTACATCTTGATCCCTCAGAAAACGTGACAAATGGGGAACAACTGACGTATCTTAGGCTTGGGTGCGGGCATAAATGGCTTTGTACGTTTGTCTGCTCGAAGTAGTCGAGATACATTACGACAATGCACAATGGAGATGGTGACTGGCATCAGTGAGTATCTTGGAAGCCAGTTTTTCGCAGGATCGAACATGATTGGACACAATAATGTCGATAAACACTAGCATAGAAATTCCGCTGCATCGAGCAAGATACTGCAACCTGCTGATCATTTTGAATTGCCCGTTAAAGAGTACAGGAAATATTCCAGGTGCGTAATACGTCCAGTGCGGTGTTACGCAAGCGGTGACAAACGTGAACTCAAGCAACGAGGTACG